AAACAAAGAAATAAACGAACGAAGGAAGGAAGGAAGAAACAAGCAAACAAACAAATAAACAAACAAAGGAAGGAAGGAAGAAACAAACAAACAAACAAACAAAGGAAGGAAGGAAGGAAGGAAGAAAGAAAGAAAGAAGCAAGCAAGCAAGCAAACAAACAAACAAACAAACAAACAAACAAAGGAAGGAAGGAAGGAAGGAAAGAAGAAAAATTGGAAAACTACATCGTTTTTTAGAATTATCATTTATCAGTCATCAAAAGTTATTTATTGTTAGAAAAGTAGTCGTTATTTCAGTATTCCATTTGGAATGCACACGTCAGCTAGCAGATTTTATACTTGAACCGCATCTATACTTGGCTTGCTTTATAATGTTATCTTTATCATCAATAGTTGCCTTAAGCTATAACTTGCTAGAAGGAATAGATTAGCAATTTAAAAACCTATTAAAGTTAGAGAAAAAGATGTACATTACCGATTAGATAAAAACTAGAAAACTCGACTAACTGAAACCACTTAAACAAACCTGTTTGATCCTACGAGAAAAAGACTCTGAGGAAATAAGTATTATTTAAAGAAGTAGTGTTAGCACAGATATTAACAGTGTAAACCAATTTTGAAAAGGTAATTAGCATTAAAAAAGCAATTTGATAAATTAGTAATGCAGAAGAAATAGGAAATTCGCGCGCGTGCTGTGTGCAGTTATAAAGTACACGGGGTTTGGTGGAACACGAGAGAAGTCATAGGAAAAGGACGACGCGTGGCGGAGTGCTTGTCGACACTTCTCGAGTGTTCTACCAATCCCCAAGTGCTGTGCACACAGCACAGCAATCAAGGTTTTCTTATAAAATAAAAGTTACAATAACCGTTATTTTAGATAGGAATGACGCAACTGAAAGTGTGCGCGCGTGTTGTGTGCTCTCATTAAGCACGCGCTCCCTACCAACCAACCAGAACACGATATTTATAACAGATATTTCATAATTATTAATAGAGATAGATAGACCGTCGCTTATTAGAATTAAGGTCGATAAAAATTCGGATACGAAATGTTCTCCGTCCACACTAATACGGTTACCCGACGTTTTCAAATTGTTCCACTCTGGAGACCGTATTCGAAAAAAAAATCGTTTTCGGTGAAGAATTGTTCCGGATTCGCCCGGACTAGTGTGGACGGTAGGCCTAACCGAATAAATAAAAATTCGGATTCAAATTTATCCGGTATAGTGTGGACGGGGTCTTAATTGATACGATCAATCAAACCAAAGTAGGCTTTGATAATTCCAACACGCTATAGATCGAGCTCTTTCAAATGCTTAAAAGGCATGAACAACATCATTTAATACAAGCGAATTTGAAAGCCTACCATTAAGGTGTTATATAAAGAAATGACGTCATCTACTATTATTCAATGATAATGGAAAACTGTAAGAACATCTGTATCCCCGGGGTATCTTATCCCTCTTAGCGATTAATCAGACCGACTGGAGTTTGATTAGGAAAAAGATGTAGAAGCTTCTAGTCATCACGGGCACCAGAGACTGACAAAACAATCCAAACCAGTCTCTCGGGCTTCTTTTTTTTTTTACTAGAATCATCAATCAACGAATCATTAATTTAACCATGACGTTTTCTTAGTGATCGTTCGAGGTATAGTCATTATGTCCGCAGTCAACACGCTGCCAAGACACGTAGCGATATATTTGCAAACCACATTTCCGTTCAAACCAGTTCAAGTCAAACTGGCAATCTTCAAAGTCTGTGACAAAGCCGACATTTACTACTCGCCCTCCCCTCCCTGCCTAAAAGTGTCAATGCTATAAGTCACTCTTGGTACAATATGATTAAGACCCATGAAAACCCTGCAACGAGCAGCTGGTACACGACATTAGCGTTTGATTAGCTGGCCTTAAGAACTAAACACTATATTATAAAAAAAAAAGGTTTGCCTTTAGATATATGCACTTTGAGTTAGTCAACTGACTAACTGCGAGGCTCGTCAAACTTGAAAGCCGGAATGTTCATCATTTAAACTCCCTAAAAGGTTAGTATTTAAAAAACATCATTACTTTAAGTTTCACATTTAGACTTTTGTTCATATTGATTTTTAAGATTCCTGTAGCAATAATGCGATTAATTGGAAAACATAAAATCGTCTGTATATTGTTACTTATTTTTTCAAACAATTAATATCTTAATTTATGTTTTAAGTCTAAGAAGGTGAGATTCTGCTGCTAAGAACAGCAACGAATATTAAGCCATTAAACTTTTACTGGATCACGTTATCAAGCAAAATCTTGTTTGTAGTTTAAATCATTTCTCCGCCCTGGTTCGAACTGATCAAAGATCAGTTGGCAAAAGTAAGTAATCGAAACGTGGTTGGAACTAGAAAAAAAAGAAGATAAAGAAAGAATGTATCTTGGGTTTTTTTGGTTTTTTTTTTTTTTTTTGATTTTATTTATTTGTTTATTTATTCTTATTCGGATTTCAAATTTTATCTTGATCGAGCTGAAAAGACTGACGTCGAAAGTTGTTAAGAATGAATTTTTCATTATGAACTTGATTTTGGTATCGCGTTGGCGAGGCCTAAATATAGCTTGGCCGCGGAAAAGATTGTGGTGTTCATATGCTCATCCGTTGGGAAGCGGCCGTGATAAAGTTGGATTTTTTTATTGTGCCTTCGTATCTAATCTTGTTTCGGGATGATTTAGAATGATGGTTCAATAACCTAATAGCAGATCTTTAATTTTTATGAGAAACAAATACGAAAATATCGGCCTCTTTCGTTTCTGTAATCAATATGAAAAATTATAAATCGAGAATTAATGACAACTAGCTTGAAGATAATAACTCATGAATAATGCATCGAAACGATTTCATGATAAGGCTGTGGTTGCTATAACTAGTTCAGAGTTTGTTAGCTATATTCATAATTACAAGTATGGATGAGAGCTTGATATTTGGTTGGTGTTTTGATCACGGAGTTTCTCACTTGGCGAATCCGATTAGGGGAGACCACATGTTTGCCACATTTATCTCATTTACCACATGTGACCTAACACGGATCTCTCGTCTGCTAAAACTGATTTTTACGAAATCCTCTTCCTATATTAGTATTCGTATTTTCACTATATTAACATCCAAGCCTGTCTTGCAATAGCCTTGTTTTTCTATGTATCATTGTTTGTCATCTTTTTGCGCAATTATTAAGATCAAAGTCAAAAGATAAGACACTTCACGAGGATATGAGCACTCAGCTTATATATTTGAAATTAAAGGGTTTGATATCGAGCATGTTATTGTATGTCAGTACTGACAGGATGACTGGTCATCTATGATCGCAATATTATAAAAGAAAACAGATTGATCGATATGAAGATGAATTATTTGATCTTTAAAACGATACAATAATCTTGTTTTATCGTTTGTGCGATTGGCACCGTCGCTGGTTTGTGTTTGTGTCAATGTCAAAATCACCTTCAAAGTCGCTGTAACGCATGCGCAATACATGAAAGTCGCCATAGTGGACATATAGTTAAAACCGATTAAAAAAACACGATAGGAGGTCAGTGAAAACATGATTGGCGTGAATAAATATGACAAAAGGGCAAAAAGAAAAAAAAAAAGGAGAAAAAAAGTCAATAATCAAGGTGCGACTAAGACTTGATTTTATAATATGGCGAATAACAAGATACAAAATTTCTATTTTTACTCTATTTTATAAATTGTTTTATTTCAAAGCGTTCAGCACAGAATTAATGAAAAGCGTTATATACGTCAACTGCATAATAATTTGACATTCACATTAATTGATATATTAAGGGATTTCTAAACACAATTAGAGAATAACGTAGTTAAAATGTTTACGGTCTTCGGCAGACTTACGCAATTGTGTAGGTATTGTGCGAAGGAAAGTTCATATCTTAATCCGTTGCCTTTCGAGAATGATGCGTCAATCCCATTTTTTATGCAACGCCAAAAAAACCGTATCGGTAAGTGTCTCATGAGATGAAGAGGAAATTTTTTTAAAAACATAGAAAAGGAAAATGTGTATAAAGAAAATAAAACAAAAAGGAGAGAAGAGAAGAGGAGAGAAGAGGAAATGGAATGGAATGGAATAGAATGGAAAGGAAAGGAATGGTGAGGAGAGGAGAGGAATGGAATGGATTGGAAAGGAAAGGAATGGTGAGGAGAGGA